CTTCTTCCGCCTTGTAGGGGACGCATAGCCTGTGACGTAAGCACGTTGTGTCACACTAAAAAGAATCCGTAAGAAACGTGAGGAAATTCCTCGATCATTTTTTGTAATCGAGTTACTCGAGGTACTCGAGGAATCGTTGCAGCCCTATATCATAACTAATAAAACCATCAGAGTTCTAACAGTGACTTTAACAGGGTCACTCTAACTCATTAAGTCGTACATCTCCAAACTGCCTGCGTTGCTTCTCCTCCTCCGACCTGCTTAACTAACGAGTTAATTACCGCAATGCTGCTGTTAAGTGATATCGAAGTAGATTACAGTACACAAGCTCAGTATAAGTCCAGTGTGAGCCACAAGAACACTGAAGCATATGATATGTGAAATATGATGATATAGTTTAGAACTGGGGAAGGACGGCCCTGAAACAAACAAACTTTAAAAAGGTTCCACAACCACCAACAGAGAACAGGTTCTGCTGCAGGTTCTACCTTGTTCTTGAGCTGTTTCATGACATCGGCCATCACCCAGTCCTCGTCACAGTTCAGTCCATCTCTCTCGCCAAACTCAAAGTCAGCGTTGAAGTCTTTCGCCCCGCGATTCCCAAACTTCTTCTTTCTGTTCAGAACAATGGGCTCGTCCTGAAACACACACACACACAGTTCAATATACAAACAGTGTATAGGGAAACATTAGGTCTGCACCATATGGTAAAAACATCCTACAGACCTGTCCAGGGTTACTGAACCCCGCCTGCCCGAACCCCCGGTGTGTGTGTGTGTGTGTGTGGCCTCCACCGAGCTCTGCTCCATATGTTGTGTTTCCACTGTAGTAGGAAAATGTATTGAGATAAAAGGTTCTGTGAACATAAAGCTATATTATGTTGTCTTCTTCTATGTTTAATTTTACAGGCTAACAGTAAAGTGTTTTATGTTCATCCATGTTCACTCTCTCTTACACTAGTTAGGAGAGTTGTTATTCATTGTGTCATAAGCACATCCCAAAGACCAAGGCTGTCTCATGGAGAGAGTAGGGCATCAGATGTGTTCTGACTGTTTATCAGACATCAGACGTCACCAATAGACATCTTTGGGAAAGAGGAATATAACAGAGTGATTTTCTTTGTTCTATTAGTTGTATCCTCAATTTGCTTGTATCCTGTGTTGATGCAAATAAATCTGGATGTGGAGTGAAACTGTCACTTCTCTTTGCTTTCTGTGAGTCTGTGTCACCTTTCTTCCTTCAGTGGGAGTTTGTGGACTCTCACTATAGTCAGGTAGCTAAAAGTTTATGTCAGATAGACATCGATTGAGGTGCATTGAGACTAGAAAATTAAACAACAACACCCTTAACCTGTCTCCCTGTGGCAATGTGGTGTTAAAATAATCGGATGTTTCTGTGATTTAATGTCAATAAGCTGATCAATAATGCTGAAATAACAACATCACGATGGTGATTTGTAAAACATCTGAAGATCTGAAAGACAACAAGCAAACAACTTTGAAACAGTTTTTTTGTGAGTTTGGTTGATCAGAGACACAAATATGAAGTAGCATGATAAAGCTCTGGGTGCACAAAGACTGAGTGCTCAACACATAAACCACCACTCCTCATTACCATTATTGATTTAAGTATTTCTATGTATTGTTGTTAATATTATTATTACTGGTAAATTCAGTTTGTTAATGTTATGTTCTGTGTTCATGTTGTGGCCTGTGAGCCGGTTGGAACAACTACCATTTTCATGACTATGGGATATTTCTTCTGGGATTTACAGTCAGAACTTCTTTATAATATATTAGTTTGTCACATTTACGTTGCTGTGATATGTATACTGCACTTCACCATACTGTGATATTAATATTATTTCTGAATTGTGCTGTTGTACATCATGTATTATATATGTATATAATACAGCACTAGGAAGGCAGATCTGATATATTATTATTTATATTAATTTGTAGTCTACTAGCCGGTGAACACATCGATTCTGAGGCCAGTGTCTGATCTGTTTTTATCGATATGAGTTTCTTTGGTTCTGCTTTTATTATTATTATTATTATTATTATTATTATTATTATTAATAATGAATAAGGTCCTTATTAGTAATTTAATTTTTCTGTTGTTAGCTGCCATGTTGTTGATGTTTATTGATTCTGATTGATTATTAACTGACATATAAATGTAAACATTGTATTCAACAGTTCAGAAGCTTCTGGATCAAACTGCGGTAAATCTGCTGTTTTCCAGCCGAACTCTGGTTCAACTGCAGCCGGCCGGAAGCCAGTTTCTCCGGGGAGACTCTCGGCTGTGTGTCCGGACAGACTCACCTCCTGTTCGGACTCGGTGTCGGGCTCCTCCGGACTGTCCTCCTCGTCCCGGATCGTCCCGATCAGACCCAGCTGCTCGAGCATGGCGGACTGCACTGCGGTACCGGGACCCGGACTGTTAGGATTCTGTGGAGGTTCTCACCGTTTCCTCTCCACAGGGTTTAGGGGGTTCGGGTTAGAACACGTGTGTGGAAGGAAAACAGGAAACAGGAAGTAAGACCGTGTGTTTCCGGTTATTTCTTCGTCTTTGGATTCTGCAGACTACAGTGTGTCACTGCTGCCCCCTGCTGGTGCTGATTATTTATAACATCTGATAGTCTTTATTGATCAACACAGATCAGAAAATACACATTAAATAACAATAGAACAGAAAATAAAAGTTATATGTTCATACAGCGTTTACAGATATGCCTGATGTAATACATTTATACAGCAGTGGCATTTAAAGGTAATATAGGCTATAAATATTACTTCTAGGCTGGATTACTACA